CCCTGGAGACTACATGAATAATTAATAGGACCCTGCATCTGAGGAAAATCTTTGTCAGGGCTATAAGAAAATAATTTATTTGGCAAATTTCCAACATGATCTTGGGGACAAAAAGGGCAGAAGCTTTCATTTAGGTGTTTTCCCAGGTATTGGAAAAGAATAGAAAAAGTATTTTGTTTATATTTAAGAAAATTTACTTTAAATTCATTGTCCATCCATCCATCCATCCATCCATCCAATGGAAAATTAGTAATTGGTTTTCACAATTAATAGAATTTTCTAAATGAAATGAAAAGCTTTAGGAAATAGTCCACTTACAGTTGTGATGACTGTTGTGATGAATTTAAGATGAGTATCAATTGCTGTAAATTTAAATATGTGCACCTTGGTCTTGTATTATTCACTTTTACATCCTTTTAATATCCATTCATTCTGACTTAACATATATCAAGTACCACGTATCATATTGTAAGGCAGTTTTACCAGAAGATTATGAGTATATCTGATAACTAAAACTGAGTTATAGTTATTTAATAGATCCTTCAAATTGAGGATATAGCCAATTGTTTGTTATTAGTTAAATGATTATAACTGTAATTTGCTTACTCACCAGTTCTTGGTCTTTTGAATAAGGTCGGACTCCTGGACCAGCTTATTAAAATCGAGTTCCCGTCAACAATTAAGTAATTTAGGCTATGGCTATCAGCAGAGTTATTGATCATCAACCAAAGAAATTGTCTCTGTTCATTCTAATGATACTCAAAGGAGGATGGATCTGACCCTGAGTGATAAATCGTCTACTGCATAAAATAACCATAGAATAAATCTGATGCAGAGATATTAAATGCAATCAAAACAGTGAAGTTTCACTCAGCTCAGGAATGCATTAAAATATGGTGATGCTGGAAAGAATAGGTTAGTTCAGCTGGTACCAGGCAGTCCAGTCCCAGGGCAGGCTTTCACTACCCAATCTGTCCCAAAAGTAGGATCCGGGATTCTGTGCAAACAGAATAACTTCCGGGTAGGCAATACTTTTTTTTTCTTACTTTTTTATTCTTTTGTCTTTTTTCCAGCGGGGGGTTCCTTTTTGTATATTGCATATTTTTGTATTTGCGTAAATGTTGCATATTCTAAAAATGAAAAAAAAAAAAGCAATAGCCTACACTGAAAAAGTCTTTCAAAGGTTACTGTGACTGCTCTGAGCATGTCCGATAAGGATGTCACGCAATACAATAGAGAGAATGTAAAATGTATCAATTTATTCCAGAAAAGTCTTCAATATTTTTTATACCATGTAGTTTAGCATTTTTTTTTTATGTTTAAAGTATATAAATAATTATTTTCAGTATGTTAGTATGTAGTTTTTCAGCCATCCGGATATTAATCTGTTCACGCATGTGCAGGACGGATTGTTCTTCTTGGATGGATCGGGTAGTGACAAGGCCAGGTAGAACAAAACTGGGATCAGAGGACTCACAAAATGGCTGTTACAATAGGGCTGGCAATGAGGTAGCTTGTAGCTGACGTTGTTAAACAGTCCAAACGTAGTAGCCCAACTTGTCAAACAAATGGAAAAAGAGGAAATAAGCAGACAGTAACACACAACATGGATTGTTCAGTCGGGCTCAGTGAGCATTAGCATTCAGTTTAGAACTCTTACTTAAAAACCAGCAGCAGTTAAATCAACACCACATGTAAAAAAAAAAATATCTATTCTACCTATATTTCACCCAAGCAGAGTATTTTAATAAGAGGGTATAAGATGAAAAGAGGTGAATGGAATGGAGGGGTTTGGTTCAGTTTGGGAGTCCGACTTGGTTCAGTTGGTTCCCTTCCAGGAACAGTTCGGGCCCCAAGTTCGTTTGTCCAACAGGTAGCTCTCAAAGAGACTTAAATTACTCTGATACCATCAACAGAATGAAACTTAGCAGGCTTAATTTTGTCTCTCACAGCAGCCTTAGCACAGCATCCTGTTAGGCAATGGGTAGCTTATCGCAGTGGCAGAACAACTCTGAACAGCACCCGAAACAAATGGGTCATAGTTCAGTTGTTTGGCGGTATTTGGCTCCTTGGCAGAACAGCAATTGGACCAGGCTGTTCCGTGGGTCATCCAGAACTGGATAGTTTTTCATCTGCTTCAGCAGGCGGGTTAAAACGAAACTGTGTTCAATCTGGTTTGAAACACTGTACAAACATAACACTATGTTTAGCTCCTTGAATTGTAGGCGAGATGCAGTCTGATTCGCCATCGAACACAGACTCTTCTACGGAGGGGTTTTGGTGGCTACGACGTAGCCTTAGCAGAAAAACAGCTTGTGTCTCCCCTTTGGAGGCCCGAGAGTCGCAGGCAAGAGGCAGTTGAATGGAGTCGGCTGCTTAAGTGGACTCTGTCGCAGGGATGTGACATCAGCGGGGAGCTGCTCCTGCTTACATCATTGACATTTGGTCCTCAACAATAACACGAACAGTAGCCAAAGAAGTGGCGTTAAAGACATTTTGAGGAAAAGAAGAAAAACTGCAGTGAGAGTCAGGTGGAACAGTAAAGCAGTGAGTAAAAGTTAAGTTGAACCCGGCTGCACTCTGCCAGTCAAACCACAGTTGTTCGGTGGCCAGCCCTGGCATGTGCTGCCCTGTAGTGAGCAGTGAGATTCTTTGTGCCTTTCTGGCTGGACAGCCTGGACTCTCCGGATGCATAACCTCTAGAGAAAAGCTGCTTTTTACGCCGTGCTTCTACAGCCCAGCCAACAGGAACACAAACACGGTCACCAGCACAGCACACAGGCACCAGCACAGCACACAGGCACCCCTATACCTAAGAACCCGACAGGAAGGAGGAAAGAGTTGAAAGCCCCTGAGAATTATCACTCCCTTTCTCCCTTCTTTTACTTTCTATTTCCTCTCCCCCCACACACACATACATTCACAGTTATTCTTTTTTTCCGTGTTCTTTTAGTTCTCCTGGGGATTGAACCAGTGGACTAGGCTCTAGTATGATGAATGATTTGCCTAAAAATACTGTCTGTAAAGCAAGTACATCATCCAGGTGGAAAAAGTTCCAGCAATAGGGACAAATCATTTTACTTTAAGTCCCCTTTCTCCTTTCTGCCATCCCTTGGTCAACAGCAACCTCGAGAAAATTTATGTAAGTGTGCGTGTTTGTGGATGGGTGGGTGTTTGTGCTAATGTGAGGATCTACAGCTTTCCTGCGAGAAACTGAAGTGTCGCTTGATTAAATCCATGACCTTCAACAGCAGCACAAGCAATCAGCAGGCATGTTCACACACCTGCTGCATGCTTAACATCTTCCTGGTACACAAACAAGTAATCAGTACCTGGTGGAATGTGTCACATTATCGATCCATGATCACATGAAAACTGTATACGCATATATATTTATATATATGTATATATATAATACTTGTGTAATCTGTAGTCATGATACTAGAAACTACAGACAGGAATTCCATGTCTATCCCTAGGATGCCACGGGGAAATAATTCCAGTCCTCAGGCTGCTCCCATTAACTGAAATCAGGGTTTTCCCTGTTCACTTTTATGACTCCGCATAATGACTACTGTGCAACCAATGTAACACCAAGCGACACAGTGATGCTATGTTGTTGTGAATGCTGCTCCACATTATTGTTTTCCTGTTTCTCAGAAATCTAATTCTTATATAGGAGGAGCTGAACTGCTGCTACATTGTACTATTGTAGTGTAGCGCCCTGAGGTTCTGCCAGCCTTTAGCCTGATGGAGAAAGATTTCTTGTAGACCTCATGTCACAATAAATTAAATCAAACATTGCTTTGTTTCTCTTTGCCGTGGGTATTGAATAGGCCTGTGTTTTTTCTTGTGGTCTTCTTTGTATTGCTTTTTTACCTCATGGACCTATTCTTCATTCTTCCCTACGCCTTGTTGTATTACTGCAAACAAAACCTCCCTTTATTTAAGAAATTTAGATCACCACTGTTTTTAATGATTTTTTGTTTTATTCATTCAATTTCAAGCTATTTTAATTTTACATTTTTAAATCTGTCACATGATTAACAGCAACACTGACCAAATGGGAAAGCTTTTAGATATCTGATTAGGCTAGAGATTTTTAGGATTCTCAGATATAAATGAATGAGCAATTTATGTTTTTTTGCAGCAATACACAACCTTAATCATTATTTTGTCCAGATTCGCTGGATCCAGGTGCTAGAGGGACCAACACTGAGCAGAATTGTACCATCCTAAAACAACTTCAATCTAAAGAACATCAAAACTTCTTATTAATAATAATCAGTCTCTTTGAAATAAACAATCCAATGCTAAAGTGGCAAGGCTTAAAATTATCTTAAAATAGTTTTCCATAAACTATTTTGACAGATTCTAGTTGTTTTGAGACACTAGAAATTTGGTCTAAGTTCCCCTAGCTAAAATGTTCCAATGAGTCCAAATAATCTATATTTATAACAAACAAAGATATTAGAATGTTATTTGTTGTTATAAATGAGCTTTTAATTACCTTTTTACGGGACTTGACTTTCTTGTTTTGTTTTTGCTTTTTTATTTAGTGAATCCTATTTTTTTTTTTATTATTATTAAAACATTGAAATACCCTTCAAATTAAATTATTTTGATTTTCTTCAGAGAACCTGTAATCGCTTTTTGGGGTAGCAGGATAAAAAAGGTTTCTATGCAGAATTACTGAGATTATTAATCAAATTATGAAGAATAATATTACTTCATTTGAGGCTGAGTGGAACAAAACTGCACCTGCAGCACTAAAAAAGGAGCAGTACTTATTTTAACTCGTAAACTAATGCATTGAGCCTCATAGTGTCTGGTGTATTGACCATCCAAAACAGCAGGGAAGCATTATAATTACATTTTTAATGGATGGAATAAAATTCTTGGACTGGTAGAGTTTAAATTCTTTAGCAGATGTTGCACTGCTGATATTTAATTTCTAATCAATAAAATCAATCATTGAATTCTTTTATTCTCTTTTGCAGCGTGCAGACCTGGAACATACAAAGCTTCAGCCACAGATGCCTACTGCACCAAATGTCCTCCGCACAGCTCGTCCCCACAGGAACAGGCCATCGAGTGCATTTGTGAAAAAGGCTTCTACCGCGCAGAGACCGACCCACGCTCAATGGCTTGTACACGTGAGTAAAACACTTTGTCACATGGACAACTTGTTTTTTTCGCAACAGTCCTAATACTCTTTGTTTAATGTGCTGAGGTTAAGATTTTTGCTTTCATTGAATTAATGGATTTCATCTTTTAATAGGTTGATGATATAAGATTTTATAAGATTTTACAGTGCATGACTCTTTGACCGTTCTTAATGTGTACTTTTTATAACCCATACTGCTTTTCACTTCATAAAACAGAGGCTCACATGATGATTGTATGTTTTGTGGTTACAGCAAATACATTTCTTGGTAAAATTCAAGCTTAAAGGAAAGATATTATTGTGTTGTATTCATCTATTTTGCTTGTTAAATTCTCATACCCCAAAGTAAGTTTTTTAGTCTTTCATTTCATAGATAAACACACTTAGTATATCTGTAAAGTGGATGAAAAATGATTGGATTTACAATTATTTTTGTATTCATGTTGCAATGTTTGTATCTGGCCTTAGACCTCTGGGCCATCTTATATAAGAGGCTAAATTTAACACAACATTTCCAAAGTCACAAACCATAATGGCAGCATTACGTCCTGAACAAATAGAAAATTACATTGTGAGACCGTGGCACTTAGAGCTCATTGAGAATGAAGTTAGATAAAACACCCGTTATGATTTTCTTCAAGTCGGCTAGTGTAGCTTTGACCACTATAGACCCCAAGGCAATTTTACCTGGAATATGCAGCTATTCAGCAACAGTTTCATTAGTGTGACAGGAAGAGAGATGCGGTTTCAAAGTAAAACACATTTGCTTTAGGGGTAACACAAAGAAAACATCTCTCAATTGCAAAGGAAAACGGTTTGCTTCCTTTAAAATCACACAGAGCGTACACTATATAGCACGTGCCTCAGTCTTAGCTGCAGAATACTTGGACTTAGGCTAAAATGAATAAAACATTTTAATAAACAGAATACCCATGAGAGGAGGACAGAAAACAGATAGACAAAATTTAGTGATCCGTTTTTAGTTCTCACAAACATAACGAGGGATAATGCAGGAGATGCGCGGCTTATCAATCTCTCCTGTTATAGTATATAAGTATATATAGTAGATTTTGTTAAATGCAAGGCCGAGTCCTGAGGAAAACCTGTTGAAGTCCTCAAGAGTTTGTGATAGAACTTTACCTCTGAGCAGAAAAACATAATAAATAGACAGCAAGGGTTATTGTAGAATGTTAGAAAAAAAGTTGTAAGTAAGATGGCAAAATTTCTGAGAATTTGTTATGTACAAGTAATCCGACTGAACTAATATTTTGTGATGTAGAATGAGATGAATTGGCCAAGAACAGTCTATCAGAGAAGCTGATAGACGCAACGTAGCACAGTGCTTTTGACTTTGATCTAAAGCTTGACTTGTATATTTACATAAAAATATATGAGAAATAAAAATTACATGGAAAGGATTTTGTTAATCACAGGTTTAGACATTTTTGAGAGAGAAAGTACAGCGGAATACAAAGGTATACCACCGGTACACGCAATCAAGCATGGAAAGCTATACACTAACGCATTATCAGGTTATTGTATATTATACTCATTAATTGTGGTGGCAGGTAGGCTATGACAGGTGTTATCAGTTAGAAATGAGTAGCTGTTTTATTCATTTATGGCCACCGCACACACACACACACACACACCTCTTACATACGCTCACACATGTGCTCTGCTGAATGGTTAGGAGGACATTTTTGAGGTTTTAGAGTGAAAAATTGGAAAAAAGGGAGAAAAGGTGAAATAATTATTCATAAAGAGATGGATAATGACACTCAAGACCAAGGAAAAGAATAGAACAGGAGGGGAAATAGCGGTCTATCAGAGTCACATAATCTAAGTGTCATAAAAGTGCCATAAAAGGCTGATCAGTAGCAATGGTGATGATTAACTGTCGGATCACATATCTCTGAGGGGAAGTTGGGGGACAGAATTAGCAGCGCACCCCTTTCGGTAAATTTATGACAGACAGTCTCAATTATGCCTGGTAACCACCCCAAACACACCCATTCTCATCTTGCTGATGAAATGAGGACCATGTATTGACTCCCATTGATTCTTTAGTTATTTTTAACCCTTTGTCTCCCCTAACCCTGAAAATAACCACTACAATACATACACTATAACCTAACCTGAACTTAATTCAGACCTTTGTCTCTAAACCCAACTGTTAGCAGAATAGGAAGTGAGGACCTGCAAAATATATTTGATTGTGACGTTGGAAAAGGGTCCTCAGCTTGATGCCAAAACAGGAACACAGACACACACAACGTCTGTACCATGGAGAAGCTCGCTATCAAGAGGACTAATCAGACAGAGTCCTGCACTGGTGACCCCCTGGGGCTCGCTGCTCAGTTGGGACCTGATGAGATGTCATGAGAAAATGGCATCTATGTCCAGCAGATTTTTTATGTGCCTGAAATTCCAGCACTGTAAGCAGCTAAAATCAATGAATACCTCATGAAAGGCTTTCTTACAATATTGTAGAATATCAGTTCTTAGCACAAAAAACATTAACAGTTAGATTCTGCTCTACAACAAATCTAGGACTGGAATGCTGAAATAAACAGAATAAACAGAAACATCTGTGATGAGAATTGTAAGATATTGATTTTTTTTTTTAATAATAGATTTAAATAGAAATTTATAATTTTACCATTTCTTACTTAGTAGTGTAAACCCAAAGTAGATGAGTATCAAAGGCTACGTTCAAACTGCAGCCTGAAGTGACCCAAATCCGATTTTTTTGCCCATATGTGATCTCTTCACTCTTTTGTCCATATCTGATCTTTTCTTTTCTGTCTGAACAACACAGATCCGATTTTTTCCAACCCAACCCAGGCCATATGGCTATGTGGTTCTGAATCAGATACGAATCTGATCTTTCCAAATGCGACCTGTGTCTGAACGGCCAGGTCGGATTCTGACCTGAACGTCATTAATACCCGACAAAGGTCACTATTCTGTGTCTTGCTATGAAGAAGCAGCAAGAAAAACAACCATGGCAGATGATGATGCGAAGAGCAGTATTTATGTTTAACCATATTGAAAAGATTGAGTTTTTATGGTTGGATAAGACCGCTAGATGTGCGCTGGCACTACTGTCAATGTTTACTTCCGTAAACATAGAGCACTCTGGCCTGTGACGTCATTGTGTCCTGACATTTGCGTTGTATGACTGCAGTTCACACAGGAGATCACATACATGTCGCATATATTTGGAAATTTGAACGGCAATGCAAGAGAAAAACGGATTTCACAAAAAAATTGGAATTGAGCATCAAAGCCTGCAGTGTGAATGTAGCCAAAATAAGTTTTTCTTCCAATGGTTACTAAAGCAGAGTTGGGATCATTTTCAAGGAGTTTTGTTGTTTTGTAATTTAAAAACATTCCTCATTGGTTTAATGCTTTGCACTTTTTGAAGTGCTAGAAGATACAATTGAATCACTTTTTTAGAAAATGTAAGATTTTTTTTACTCTTCTTTCATCCACCGCCTAGAAAGAGTACACATTACAATAGTAAACAGGGCTTTTAGTGTAGTGTTATATCCCTACCTGAGACAGCTATTTTTCACTCTCTGCTTTGCTTGCTTATATTGGAATCTCCAGGAGCATTGGCCTCCCTGGTGAAAATGACTTAAAAATAAATGCACCTTTAATGGATGCCAAATACTCTGGTCCTGATGCTTCCTTATTTGAGCACATTAATACAGTGGAGAATAAAATGCCACAGTAAGAATCATTGTTTTTTATTAAATAGAACTGAAGCATTTCTGTAGTTTCTCTTTAAAATACTGCATTCGATCAGATAGTTAATGGAAATTTATGGAGTAATCCATGACTTTTCTCAGTCCTGCATGGAAAACACAAGATGGTAAACCATTCAAGTAAGGTATATGTTTATTCTATTAATAGACTCTGTACTAGCAGACATGATAACATTGCAGTTATGTATTGATAGGGGAATAATGAGAACTCATGACATGAATTTAATGTAGTAATATAAGCCTAAAGTAGCTGTACCTAAGCAACAGCATCTGATTCTTGTAACTTTGTATGACTTAGTAGTGGATACACTGCAGCCTAGATAGTAGATGAGGAGGCTGTTTTTTAGCTCATTTTTCAGCAGTAAAGGGCAACATTTACTCTGTAGAAGATAAACACTCTTCTTCAAAATGAAGGAAATGAAATTTTCCAACATGTTGCTATTTGAACTGGTGTTGCAGAGGGAATGAGCTTTCAGTGTCTCTGTAGCTTACTGCTTATATCTGCTTAAGGCCAAAGGCTGGAGGCTACATCACATATCATAAACAGTGTCTGGTGGTTCTGTTATTGGAATTCACTTTAGGCTATTCTGATGTGTTGATTTGAAAATTCCGTTTTTGAATAATCTGAATAGCTAAAAAATAATGTGATGGGGAATAACAAATCAGCTGGTATAAAAGATAAGAGAGAAGAAAATTATTTTCTTTATCCACAGAGAAAAACTCAAATTTCCCACAAGGTTTTAAATTTTTTGTTTTCCAAGTTCAAACGCAATGCTTTTTTCCACATAAAGAAACCTATGTCCTCCCTTCTCTTTCATCAGGTCCTCCATCTGCTCCAGAAAACCCCATATCCACCGTGAATGAGACCTGTGTCTCGTTGGAATGGTCGCCGCCCCACGACACAGGGGGCAGAGGAGACATTACCTACAGCCTCCACTGCAGGAAGTGCTCCGGTGATGGTAAAAAGTGCGCACCATGTGGGAGCAGCGTCCATTTTGTCCCAAGACAGTTTGGACTCTTGACAGCCAGTGTTATGATCACCGACCTGCAACCAGATTCTAACTACAGTTTTACTGTTGAGAGCCAGAACGGCGTGTCAGACCTGAGTCCAACCCCCAGGGGTACGGTGGTGATAAATGTTACGACATCGCAGACAGGTGAGAACAAACTCATTCACTGGCTTAATTATGTCTTCATTTAAAAAATGGCATGATAAAGACTGTAGAAACACCTTTAATAAAAACTAGATTTTGCAGTATTCCAGTGATATTGCCTGAGCAAAAATGTTTAACCATTTACGAGAGACTTTACAGTGCCTTACAAAAGAGTTTATAGATTTTGATTTCAGAATCTACCTACATTTTAAATGGAACAATAATTTAGAACTGCAGCTAAGTTTCTGTAATTGCTCTTGAGTGCTCTTGAGGTTTTTAGAAGACCCAAGACAAGACGTAAGTTGAGGTGGTTTCTTGCTAATTTAATAAGTTGTGGCAATAGAAGCATGAATCCAGAAATAATTGATAAAGAAACACAGGAACCAGAAAAAAGGGGAAAACAAAGTAATGAAGAGAATCCAGCACTGATGAAGAATGGAGTAATCAACTGATTGGGAACAGGTGTGGACAGAAGGATCTAGAAGGGATCTAGGGGGAAGGAGATTGACACAAGATTGCAACAGAGAGTAAACAAGAAATACATGAGAACTTAAATACAACCAGCAAATAGAATGACATAATTGAAATGAAACCAATAAATTAGAAAACACAGAAAGACATAAATCAAAGTGTAACTGAAAACTCAAATAGAAAACTTAAACAGAACCAAAAGGTGCAGAATCATGACATTGAGCAGCTGCATAGAGCCAAAACTGGACAACTATGTCCTTTCAACAAATCTGGCCTTTATCAGGGAACTGAGACAAATACAAGTCTGACTTTCTAGATCTTGATATAAAAACCTAAAACCAGGTAACATTTTCTGTTTACAATTCTGCACTACTTTTTTATCAGTGTAGCTAAATGAATCCCATAAAGGTTCACTGACATTTGTGGTTGCAAAGTGACAAAATGCCAAACACTTTAAGGAGTTTGATGTTTTAAAAAAAAAACACATTACCATAGTTGCATCTTTATGACAAGCCCAGATTTTTTAGCAGTGGGGAAGTACACTGATATGATAGACTGGCACTCCAGCATCTCTGCTCACACGTGTACTTATAATAGAATGTGCATCTGCCACTAAGATTCTTGTAAGAGATAGGTGTACATGAGAAGGTGTTGATGAGTAATAGGACGCATATGACACGTGTGGACGTGTGTGTAGTGGAAAGTGAAAAGGGGTGTAGGAGGTTGTAAACCACATTACGTTCTACACATGCTTTTCACAGCTATGAGCCTGAGTTTCACACATCTACACAAATACAGTCGCGGACGAGTAAACCCACATCATCATCCCACAAGAGCAGGTGTCCCAGTGTGGAAACACTGCACAGGAAGTCACAGTTTTTGTGATTTTTGCATTGAAGAACAAGGGCAGAACACACAGTGTTCCAATGAAATGTACAAATGTATGCTTCATAAATTATATACATTATTTCCTTGTAGACTGATTAGCCTTAATGCATAACACAGTGAAATGTGCAAAGTTTTCTTCATCTAAACTGTCCACTTTCTTAGTACTTTATTTTCGTAAAAAAAAAAAAAAAATCAATTTGATGTATCCTCTTCCATGCTGTTGATCATGTTTCTTTTTCATTTTAGTGAGTGTAGTGTTAAAAGAAAGGCGAAGTAAGGACAGCGTAACTTTGGCCTGGCAGGGTCCGGAGAGACCTAATGGAGCGATTGTGGAGTATGAGGTCATCTACTATGAGAAGGTGAGAGAGACACTGACAGTCTATCTTCTCTGCTATTAGAGACAAAATGGTGGGAGTCTGTTGTTATGGTTAAAAGTTTTTGTAAATTTTTTTGTATAAATTTTTTTTTCCACCAAATAAAAGTGGTGAATCAACACATGATAGGCTCATCATTGCTTTGTTGCTCCCTCAAAACAGCCAAAGAAATCTGTTAATTTAGCACTTTCTGTGGCATCCCATTAGAATGTGTTCTTGCTGTGAAAATCATATCTAACATGATTCCATAACCCTGTAAACGTTTTTTATACCTTGGTATAAGTAATTAACCCACAACTAGTGCGAAGAGTTGATGATAAATGTCCATTAAAGAGATGCCTGATATATGTAATTATTTATGTCTCATGTTCATAAATGCATAAAAAAAATTATGTCTATGAGGTCACATTTGAAAATTACTGCAGCAGCCCTTTTTCAGATTTAATTAAGAATCCCTGTTTTCTTGCTATCCTCCTACATATTGGCAGGATATGGGTTTAGCCTAAGGCTACGACTCTAATGACTTTTTCATCACAAACATGTTGCTATCTCTCTGGTTCCTCTGCCTTTTTTCCTCACTTCAAACTAATTAACTACACATCTGTTCAACAAACCTTGTAAAACACAGCCAAGGTGATGAAATTAGATCTTGGTGTGTGTACTGGCATGTGTTAATGGTAAAATACTGTTAATCCGTATTGTAGAGTGTCTTTCATTAAGTGAAGTATCAGCATTTCTGCAGGGAATCAGCTCACTGGCAGACAGACTTGTTCTCTATTCATCCTTCTACACACGCAGTTATCAAAGTGTGCATACACACACCTAAAAGGTAATCAAGAACCAAAGTGGAACAGGTTTAGTAACCACACATTGCCCCAGAGTTCTGAGAAGATAGGATTTGGGACTTGGCTAATGCTCAGATACAAATGTGACCAAATGGTCCATTGTGGTGCAAATAAAAACGTCATAAGGATTGAATTAGATTCCTGGAGACTTCTAAATGTAACAATTTAAAGGTGTGCATTACCTTAAAGCAGGGCTTTAGGTGCAAAAAAAAGTGCTGGTAGTCCTCTTAATGCCATAGAAATGCAACAGAAACATGGACAATATTTTATAGAGATGTTTCCATCGATCTATAGATTAATAGTTTTATTTTAAAGAAATTGTATATCCACTTTCATTAACTTCAAACCTCATTATGTTAGCATGGAATGAGAGATATAAATATAAAAAAAAGAAAGACATAAAGAATTGATAAATATGTCTTGAGTTTTCAATAATCTCATTATTATATAGATTTTCTTTATCTCAGTATTAGGCCTTGCCTTAACACACCCATGCAACTTTAGCTATACTATCTCCCGTATCCCACTGTGGCAAGGGCATCAAGCACTGAGAGAGGCACCAAAAAAAATTGGCTTATCAGTGGCTTAATGAGTGGCGCAGTGGGTAGCACTACAATTCCCGTCTTTCTGAATGGAGTTTGCATGTTCTCCTTTTGCATGCATGGGTTCGCTCCGGGTACTCCGGCTTCCTCCCACAGTCCAAAAACATGACTGTTAGGTTGATTAGCTTCTCTAAATTCTCTTTAGGTGGGAGTGTGTGAATGAATGGTTGTTTGTCCTGTATGGCTCTGTGTTGCCCTGCGATAGACTGGCAACCTGTCCAGGGTGTACGCTGCCTCTCACCCATAGACAGCTGGAGATGGAAGGTTGGATCATAATAACCACATATTTAAAACTATTTTATTTACCCTGTCTCCCTTACCTTCACAGCTCAGATCTCCAGATGATTTTTTTAAATAGCTTTTTATGTCTCCCTTGCTTTGATTATTTATTTTATCTCCTTAATGCTCCTCGTTAGAACCAGCGGGAACAGAACTACACAGTTCTGAAGACTCGATCAAACATGATGACAGTGGACGGGCTGAAACCTGGGACCACCTACGTCTTCAGAGTCAGGGCTCGAACTGATGGGGGATACGGAACTTATGGGGGCGAGATTGAACTGGAAACCAGTCATGAAGGTAAAAATGAAAAAAAAAAAAAAAAAACCTTTTCAACTTGGAATTGTACCTAAATAGGCATCTTTCTAGTTCATACAGATTCCATAATAGTATAAAAAAACAATAAAGCCCCACACCCAAAAAAGGGGATAATTCAACCAAAACAAAAGTTTAATTCAGTAAAGCTTTTAGAAATCACCTACAGATTTTACATAACTGTACATATCGGAGTCAGAGACTAAAATATCACTTATTTAAGTCATTTAAATTTATATCAATATTTGAAAAAGGCTAAAGGGGATTAATTCAAAAATGTTTTTTTATGTTTATATTTTATTAGTTTCTACAAATGGAATTACACACATACTTAGAATGAACTTTTAAATGTATGCATTCTTCTAAAGTCTTCACAAGCAATAGTTTTCTGGAATTGTTACTCCTTATTGCTCTGAATTACACGGACTTTGCCTACAAATGTGGTAGCCACTGTAAAAGAAATTACTTTGTTTTCTATAAACCGTTTTTTTTACTGAAATACTTGAATGACATAATTGATAATTCAATTCAATTCAGTTTATTTATATAGCGCCAATTCACAACACATGTCATCTCAAGGCACTTTACAGTTCACCAGATCATACTAAATCATTGTTAATCAGATGTTAATAAACATTTCTATGTTAATAGACATAAGAATGCACACATCCTCAGACGGATGTATTACTCCTAGAGGGCTGCCATACCCTTTTTGATGTCTTTCCTGAGTACTTGCATTTTTGCCTGTTGCTTTTTATCCCCAGATGTTCCTGTTATGATGTTATGAACTTGCTCATTAGGAGCTGACCAAGGCATGACATCATCATCTGGTCAATCACATTTGTTTTTTAAAGACAGTAATCTTAGTCTATGTAAACATTTATTCTTATTAATTTATTTTACTATATTTTGGTAAAGAAATAATTTGGGTAAATTTGGAAAAAGTTGGACCTGATCTAATGTCAGACAAGGATGGAAATAAGATACATATGGCATTTTAAAGCCTTAATGTCTGACACACACTGATGGCTTGCATTGGATTTACCAATCAAAGTTCTGACGGATATTGATTCACTTTATGTCACCCTTTGGTTGGCGGTGATTTCGGTTATGTCAGATATGATGTTTTAATATTAAGCCACAAGATCTTTATACCTACATGCTTCCACAATAATCAGGATTAGATACAACCCATCCTTGCCAAAGTTCAAAGTTTGATGAATTAAAAAAGTTTACTGCTTTAAAGTTTATTGCTTTTATCCAAGCCCTGCTGTCAGGCAGAGATGCCTAAGCAGCTCCATGTTGTTGACAGTTTTCTAAACCACTGTCTAAAATACTTTTTAGGTAAAAGAAAAGACAAACCAGTCTGGCGAGAAAGGACAAAGTATGCAGATTGAAATAAGAAAATTTAAAACAGACTTTTACAACAAAATTTAATAAATGAAAAAGGTTTTGTCCAGCCAAAGTCAGAACTAGTTCAGAGGGCCTTTATTGTGAAATACAAGCACACATATTTCAGACTAAAGAAGACTCATACAGAGCTCTTGCATAACATGCCAATCTTCTATGATATAGTTTTCAAACTCTCTGTCACATATCCATTTCACCACCTTTAATATTGCTTCATCGTGTGCTCTTGGAATTTTTTTTCATTCCCTTTAATGTTCCTTTCAAAGTGATTATTGATTTCAGACAGGCAGGGAGAGTGAAGTGAATCAGTAAATGTGTAGCGCTGCAAAGTACATTGACTGTGCTGCACAGAAAAGGCATGCATTAGCCTATAAATCATTCAGCTGTCAATAAATGCATTTCAGAGCTTTATTTCTGCTCCTGTGCCGCAACAAATATCAGTAATTTGATGCCTCAACATGCTGCGTGAGTCTCTGTGGTTGATTAGCTCCTTACACAACAGGTTCTCATCAAAGTCAGACATTGCAAAATGCAAGAATGGAGGATTTTGTACCAGTCAGGTGAAGTTTATCTAATTAGATCTGTTGTTTTGATCGTTAAAGAATGATGTGCTTGTGTGAGCCTCCATCTCTAACAAGAGATCAATGCCTGGATTATTATGACTTCTCAAGATGCCCACCGATTAATAAGCTTATGTGCTGCATGCAACACTCTCACATAATTACAGAAAGACGTGGATATCCGCTCATGCTTAGCTAAGCCAGATAAACGGGGGTATTTGTTTTGAGTAATGGCTCGATTGGCTTGGCGTAAAAATCAATGCGTCTTCGCAGAAACTTCTCAGCAGTAGCCTTGTTATGTGCAATGTTAACATATCCATTTGGACAGCGCAGCTGAATGGGAATTGCTTTCACGTCTCCTCTTGTAGCCTCACAGGCGATACCAAGAGGGAGAAAGCTTTTCATCATTGGCCTTACTTACTATTCCATCAACCTCCCTTTTCTCTCTTGTGCCTTGTGCTCCCTCCCCCCCTACAGCCTCTATCTTTTATGTCTTTTCTAATGCTATCATTTTTCATGCTCTCTCCATCTTTCCTTCGCCACGTTCGCGGTATCATTTTCTGTCTTTTTACTCCCAGCCTGCCTTAATCTCACCTTAGCTCCTGCAGAAAATGCCCTGGGCTTCGTTCCATTCTCACTGAGGTTTGCTTTAATAAACTTTTATAACATTGGCTTTGTTTTGTTCTGGCTTTGCAGACGTCCTGGCCATCGGGGACCCAAACCAGTCTACTATTTTGGTTGTGTCCATTGCAGGAGGGATCGTTCTCCTCATCTTCTTGGTGACCTGCTTCGTCGTTAGCGGACGGTGAGGGCAGCACTCACACTAACACTAAATAAAGTACAGTTTTCATCTAGAGAACTTGACAGAGTATTTTATATGAAAGTTCAACACAAATTAGGTTCGTGTAAGATTGAAAAACTGGAAATTCATCTTTTTCAACCATAAATATGAATTGTATGTATTGGCTGGTTTTGTATTTTGCCTCTCTGATTAAATACATTTTAGATCCGACTTTTATTGTAATAGTAAGAACTTTGTGTGTGTGGGGGTGTGTGTGTGTCTTTTGCCTTCCATTTCTTTGCAAAAACACCTTTCATCTTACCACAGATTTGCAAGTTAATTTGGCTCTAAACTTTGACTGGGATATTTAGTGTATATTTGAGTTCTTTTATTTTGTCGGGAGGTGAGCCTACACTTTAGTATTAAGTCCTTTGTGTTAAGAATTTCTTTTAGTATTATTTTGTTTCACTCCATTCTTAGCATTCATGTATTATGATGCTGCCAGGTACTTTTATGAAGACTGAGGTGCCAAATAGGAGAGGGATAAAGCAAGGGAGGGAAGTCTGAAGCAGGGTTAGGTTGTGACACAACACAATGCCAAGCTTTGATTATCTCTGAGAGCTCCGTTCAATCTGACATCTGAAAATGAAAAGACTGAGCATTGTGTTTAAAGTACAGCTATTAGTCATGCTTGTTTGTCTCTATACTGAAGAAAAACACCTTCATAGTATCTACTATTTGCTACAATCCTTTAAAGGAGAACAGCAAACATGATAGAAATGTTGGTCAGATAAGCCCAGAATAGGAAAAAGGTTTTTTGCTTCATGGTCGAGGACTTTGACAGCTTATCATCCTGAACAAACCTTACCCACAGTTCAACATGGTGTTGGCAGTATCATGCTGTAGGATTTTGTTTTTGTTGAAGACATAGCAGCTTTAATAGTGTTATGTAAAGAGCTTAAATACCCAAACTGCAAACTTTTTGCTCCAAACTCATTACAATGTAGTATTGTTCATTGGTCTTAAACTTAGAAATCTAATGAACTAGATTTAAAGAGAAAATCTACTTATTGAAAATCACTTTTTGTTTGCAATGCTCTAAAACTCGCTGACCCTTGAGTGCAACTTTTACTGCCAAGAGCAACCATGTCTGCTAATATGAAAGCACATTTATCTATTTATAATCTGGTCTCTCCTCATATCTCTCTCCGTCTGTCTGCGAAGAGAATTACGCGTGGGTGTGAAAAGGGAACGCGTCCATCTCTGACATTTACAAAAAGTCTGATTAAAGGTTGAGTTACGCTGATGTTACGAACACGGGCGCTTTTTGGTCACTCACTTTGAAGGTTAGACGATTTGTTAATGCTTGGCTTCAATGCCAAAGAGGAGAAATGGATGAGAGGGAGGATAAAAAGGGCCCTGATTGCTAAGAGGTGACAAGATGAAAGCATCAGGTGTTAGGTGAAAGGCTCTTTGGAGAGGAAGAAACGGAGCAGAGAAGACCAGTTCCCACAGCAGCTGTAACCAAATGTTTATTCTCCATGACTTCGAACTAGATTACCCACATTTCAGGAACAACACACGGGCAAACATGCACATACTTATGTACACACGCTAAAAAGATTAGTATTGATTCATGTGATTGCTTATCAGGCTGAGTGCTCTATTCACTATTGACTTGAAGGGATGTAATCAGCAGAGACTGTTCTAGGTGCTGTTGAACACACACGTGTACACACACAGCACTTAGGGCATGCGGACGGGAAACCATCAACATGTTTTTAATCAGACATGGATTATAGGTCTGACCCCCCCTCCAAAAAAAAAAAAAAAAAACCTGTGAAACATTTCACGTTATGAACACATGTGATGACACAAACACAAACTCACACTCATCTAATCAGATTTCACAGGCTGCCGAGGTGTTAACTAGGTTTTACGGAGAGGTCGATGCAGTATCATCAATTTTGGGTCTTCCTCTCCTCCACCTCCTCCTCTCTCTCGTTTTCTATCTTCCATCAGGCAAGAGGTTTGGATGCACAGGAGGAAGGAACGATGATGGCTGCTTTCTATGAAAGTGCATCTGTCGAAATATGTGTGCTCACAGGTGGGAGCGTGTGCCTCATTTGTGACCAGAGAATAAAGATCAAAGCCGAATCTCAAGAGAGCCGACAAGCGTGTGTTTGTCCGTGTGTGTGTGTTTCAGGAGGTTCTGGGGTAAAGAAATTTGGCAGGATGGACAGAACCAAGAGGAAGGGAGAGACACAAGTGGAGAATAAACATATTAAAAAAGGTACTAGGATTGACGGATTGCATCCAAGGGGGAGGGAGAGGTACATCTGAGGCGTAATGGTGCCGCTGGAGAGCCACATTTTCAGATGATGTGAAAGATAGAGAGAAGGAAGTACAGGCCTGAAGGAAATTGATGGAGGAAAGCGAATAGCTAGGGGAAAGAAAGCAGAGGTGCAAGGAGGAGAAGATGAAAAGGCAGATTGCGAGATTGTTTGAAACAGGAGGAGAAAAGGGTAAGGGGAGATGATGGGTGGGCGATTGCGCTGTTAGGCGCAATAGGACTGTCATCCTTGAAGCTGGTGAGGAATTGGGGAAGAAATCAAAAACTAATCTCCTCTTCTGTTGTCTATTCCTCCCCTTTTTCATCTCTTTTCTCTCATGTGTCATTCAAATTCTCTCCCATTTTACCCCCTCTGACATTTTTTCCCATTCTTTTTTTGTTCTGACACTCCAGCTTTAATTTCCTGTTCTTTCCTTGAAATTTACATTTGGATGAATGTATCGACAATCAAATGTATTCAATGTGGCCGGCTTAATATGAACAATGATTGGGCTAAAATTGACATGGAGAGGCAGCCAGGTTTTAATTGATTTTTCCACCAGGCGTTTGTAAGGCTTGTCTCTGCCAAAATGTCAGCTGTTTAAAAAATCATTAAACTGAATAAAAGTGCAGAGGCTTTTTGTTCTTTTAAAGTTTTTGAACCGAATGATACAGTGCATCAAAAAAAGAGTCTGTCCTTAAAATGTAAATTCATTCTAGTGATTACATTTATATACTAAAACAAAATTTATATTTGCAAGTGTTTATTTTATCATTTATTATTGTATTTCTCATGGAGGACCAGCTCTACCATATTGAAAAAAATAAATACAGAAATAAATAAATGTTCTATAAATAAATAAGCATACAATTAATTCCCCCCAAAAATACAATTAACAAGTAAATGCAGGTAGAAATTAAATTATACAGTTAGTCAGAGACTAAATAAATATGCTAATTAAAAGATATATACATTTATTTCTCACTGTATAATTTAAGTTCTACCTTCATTTATTTGTTTATTGTATTTTGGGGGCAATTAATTGTATGCTTATTTATTTATTGAACATTTTTTTCTGTATTTATTTTAAATATGATAGAGCTGGTCCTCCATAATGTCTGTCAGTTTTGATGATTATAGTTTCTACCTTATAATGACCACACAATCAGTTTTCTTGTTTTATATGATTATTACACAAGCAGTTAAATTATAATATAACAAGAATTTTAAATATGTTATGGTATGGACAATACAATTATGGAAAAACACTGCTCCCTTTACAGTTGTTCAGCAAAAGCAATTGAGAAGTAGGGTAAACTATTAAAGGTGTGTCCTAAAATAGGCCCTTTTCAAAGAAATGCTCACCTTGTCCAAATAATAAGAAAGACTATTAAAATTATTTGAAGCTAAGCTTAATTTTTTTGGATTTGGAGATATTTGAAGTCCATTGACTGTAGCTGGTTTCAGAGCTTAAAGAGCCACTACAGAAAGGCTTGTCAGGACATAAGCTATTGTGCAACTTGATTCACTGACTTCTAAAGCATCAGCAATGTAAAAAGTGTCTTACATGGCAAAGTGACTTGACTCCTCCTTCTTTTAGTTTAGCTAAATTGAGCTTTTATTTATTTATTTCTGAAATCCTAGTCCCGAGTCTAGGAAGAAAAGGGGGTGAAGCTCAGCATCTAAGGTGTTTGAGGGAGTGTAGTATATATTGATGGAATATTTCAGGAGATTCATGATAATGAGCCAAACTGCCTTTATGCAGCAATTCATGCAAAGGGAGCCTTGATCAAAAAAAAGGAAAAATACTATATAGCCTACATGGACATATTTTTTTACTTCAAATTTTGCTGGAAGACATAATAATCAAAGTTTGCAGAAAGAGAAACTACGATATTTTACTCTGAAAATAATCTATGCAAAGCTTGAGTCTGTCTTTTTAAATTGAATTACTGATATAGATTCGTTTTCTTCAATATCATAATTTCATGAGCTCCCATATACTACACCAATCCAATCGTTCGCATTTAGACACTATGCATTTTTGCAACCTTTTCGCTGCCAGGGAAAGCGAACAACTACGCCTCATAAACAAGCTGATTTGCAGGCGATTCTGTTCTCTCCTGTTCTCATTTAATAAAACGCTGTTATGCTATTCTTACAGCGGGAGGGAAAACATGAAAAAACACCCAAAGCTACTCAGAAACAGCACGCTGCTGACAGATCACACCATTTATTGCTGTGTGAATGCCATTATTGCTCAGCCCAGCGAGCTTACATTTGTAAGCATGTCTTGTATCTGAAGTTTTGCGTATTTGTCCTCCTGAGGTTCCCTTGGCAGGCTGGCAGGTGCAAACGATAAGGAGCTACTAAAAAAATTGGCACTGCCATGGATTCACCAGATGGCCTTTCTCTCAGAAAGCATACCCCCCTTCGGTCTTTACTATCTCCCACTCCCTGTTAAACATGTTACAGCTCCTGCCTCCCAGCATCTGCAACTGTGTGTGTTTGAGTCCAGGTTTGGGCCCTAGTTTTGTTTAGACTCTAATGATCCTACGGCTGCTCAAACATCTCCTTTTCTTAGCTGCTGCAGGCTTCGGTTAAAAGCCAGATTCCGATGTTTTTTTCTGTCTGCATCTTTTCAATGTGGGAGTTTTGGAGACAAGTCGGCATAAATTTGTTCTTTCTTTG